TCTAACTCTTCTGAGAGTTTGGAGGAAGAAGTCTTCTGCTCATTAAGCTCCAGCTGGACGTTGGAAGCCTGGGTCAGCTCATCTACCTTAACCTCCAGCTCCTTCAGCTTCTGGTCCTGGCTCTCAGCAGCAGCTTGGGCAGCAGAAAGGTGAACATCCCTAGCCTGTTGAGCCTCTTCAGCAGCCATCCTGCTGGCTTCAAGAGCTTCCAACTTCTGCTGCACTTCAGCTTGTGCAGCAGCTCCTTCTTGAATCCGGCTCTCGATGGCAACTTTAAATTTGGAGATGTCCACTCCCATTTGCTCCTGAAGGAATTTCTCCCCTTCTATCAATGGGGGAAAAACTTCCTTCTCCATGGCAGAGCAGAAGGTCTGAATGGCTTCAGCAGCCCTTTTTTCATACTCTTCGCTCTGCTGCTGCCTCTCTTCAGCAGCCTGCTGTTTCAGCTCATCAAGCTTCGCCTCCTCCTGGGCAATCTTCAGATCTTCCCAGGCATGCTCCAGCTTATCTTGGAGGGTGTCAATCAGCTCTCCAGTAAGAGTCTGATTGTGCATAACCTGTTTGCGGGGGCACATCAGTTAAAATAAATAAAATAATAAAAAAGGAAGAGCCGAAAAGGAGGAGAGCTGAATAAAAGCAAAGCAAAACAACTAAATGGCTAAGTACCTGCATCAGCAAACGCTGGTTGTCTCTTGCGGGGTCAGGGACCCTCCGGCTGGATTCTCCCATCCCAGCCGTGGCCTTCAGCGACCACACCCTTGCTCGGTCCACTTCGGACATACTAGATAGGTCGCCGAAGTAACCTGCAGCCCCTTCACGGTTCTGGCCCCAAATTCGTTCCCAAACAGGTTCTAGGACTGTGATGCGGGGGGCCGAGAAACCCAAATCTCCAGAGTTCAGTGTCTGGAAGGACGGGAAGGAAGAAGACGGAACCTCCTGAACCTTCTCAGGCTCAGCATGACCTTCTCCTTCGGCGGAGCCCAATTGGTCTCCACCAGGGTCAGCAGCGACGACCTCCTCTGCTTCCTCCCCTAGATCAGGTTGACGAAGAAAAGCGCCAACCTCCCTATCAATATCATCTGAGAAGCCTTCAGCAATCGGCTTCTCAGAATCTTCAGCAGGGCATCCCTGAACCCCCCCCCTTCGGATCAGGAGTTTTTTTGTCCACCTCCATCTCTTGAGTTTCGGGAGGTGGAGGGGGGGTTTGAGGACGCGGAGCTTCCGGCGAAGGGGGAGCCCTCGGCGAGCGTCTACCTTCATCAGGCTCCCGTATGAGGATGCCCCCGGTAGGCCTCATCCCCGTTTGAAACTGACGAGGCCCCAGCACGGCTAACCTCCTCCTCCTCTTTGCTAAGGGCCGCTCGTCTATTTCTTCAGATTCTGACGAAGATGGATCCTCAGAGCGAGCAGGCGCCTTTCCTTCTCTTCTTTCGCTCCCTTCCTCAGACTGCAGAAAGGGGGGGGGGGCAGCAAAGTGTGAGTAAAAAAAAAAAAGAGAGAGAGAGAAAAAGAGAAACGAGCAAGTCATGAACTTACTGGAACCCTCGGCTGAGCTCCAGATGCAGGGATATCCCTCTCAGCAGCACCAGATGTCCCAACACCTCCTTCCAAGGAGTCGATTGCTCGGGACACGTCAGCTGCTGTCTGAGCAGCCTGTGCTTCCTCAGGTAATAAAGACCGAAGGGGATCTCGTTTCTCCCACCAAGGCTTCTGCTTGGTGTATTCGGCGGCAGCTTCGATCTGAAGGCCCGTTTCGTGCAGATGCAGCGGACGGTCCTTCGGAGCTGTGATTGCCGGAGCCCGGTCTAAAATGACTCGTTCAGCGTTCACCCCAAGCCGGTTATAGTCAACCCCCGAAGTAGCTTCGCTCAGCTCTGAAAAGAACAGACGAAGGTTAGACTACGGGAATAAGCATCAAAGATAAGCGGAAAATTAAACAAGTCAAAGTCCTCGGCCCCAGCCGAACATACTTACCATCCCTGTACTTTCGGCTGAGGCCGACAACCGCCAACATCTTCTCTTGGAAGACGTAATGGTTATCTGGAAGCCATCTGGCCGGGATAAATCTCATTCGGCCAACTCCCCCAGGGTTATTCTGCTTCCCGAAGAAGCTCATTTGCTCGTAGCTGGGATGACGAGCGGCATCAGGGTCCTCAGGGCCCAAATCCTGCATGTTCGGATCAGGCCTGGAGAGGTATCGGGGAGCCTTGAAAAAATAGGGATGCTCTGGATCAGCGGGAACTCTCACCCAGACCCATTGACCTCTCCAATCCTTGTCCGAGGAATCGTTCGGCCACATAGTCAGATAATGGGGGCAGCTCTCTATTCGCCACCAGCCTGAAGACCCATGTTGGCCGTATGTGCTCTGAAGGTTTTGCACTAGCTGATGCATCTTTCGGAAGCAGTGCAAATTCGGCTCAACAGCAAAAAACCGACACACCCAGAGATAAGTCATCACCCGCCGAATGCTAACGGGTGTTAATTGGCACAGGGAGATCCTGTACTTTATTAAAATGTCCCTGACGAAGGGATCCAAAGGAAACCGAATCCCGTATTGTAATTGCCGAGTGTACACCCCTATATATCCAGGAGGGGGATGGTGAATCCTGTCAGTCGGCGAGGGCATTCGACACTAGTGCCCATCCTCTTCAAAAATGACGTAGTGCAACTCAATTTGCTCGGGGAACCGGTAGGTTTCGGCGTGCCGAACCCACCACGAGTATGGGGTATTTCTCACCATGGCGTCCTGGGCCTCGGCGTCTGCCATTTAGCATGCCCAAGAAGCAGGTCCCAGAGCACAGGGGGCAAATCTTCGGCCTGCCCAGCCCGTTCTCTCTGCTCAGGTTGCTCCGCCTCGCCGGCCTCGGCGTCCTGCTGAGGCGGCGCGACGTTTAAAGGAACGACCGAAATCCCCCTTTCCGAGTCTTCCCCGGCTCGTTCCCCGTTCCAAACATCGGCGCGGTCACGAGGATCCCTAACCTGATCCCGTCGACCTGGTTGACGCCTCCTTTCTCGAGCCATAACCAAATTCAAAGAAGGAAAGAAGGGAGAAGAAGAATTTCCTTAAAAATGGCAAGAAAATCGAAAAAAACTCGAAGAAAATTACCTTCAAATTGGCCGGAATGCGCCGGTCAAATTAGTGGAAGCGACGGATTTGAGTATCGAACTCGGATTCGAGAATGGTGCGCTAGAAATTCGAAGCGAAGGTGGGTTTATGCGAGAATTCGAGTGTAAGTTGGTGAAGGAATGAGGCAAAAATGCAAATAAGACCTTATAATTCCAAGAAGGAGAATTCCAAAGGTCGGAAAGTTCAAATTTCTCTTAAATGCCTCCTTAATCAACCGTTAAACACTCTCTCTCTTGATTAACCGCCCACTATCCACTCCACTGTTAATTATCCAAATTACAATTATTTAATTAATAACTGTTTAAAAATTTAAATCTTTTGATTTAATTAAGCCATTTACTTCCCTCCATTTTTATTGGATTCAAACCCGACCAGTTATCCAACTGGGCCTAGTCAGTAAATGATCCAATTAAAAGCCCAAGGAAAAGGTTCAACTCTCCATTTGTGCTAAAGTCAAGATCAGTCCACAAGACAAGTCAATTGGGCCAAGGCCCACTTCCTCCTTATATGCAAAGGTATAAAAGCCATCAATGTGATCTTTGTACATTCATATTCACAAAAGCCTCAAGCAATTAATTCTCTTGCATAGCTTTCTCTCTCTACACATTGTGCTGACTTTAGCATCGGAGGGGCCTTCCTCGGCTACACCCCCGAGGCTAGTTTACGTGTGTTTGCTGTGCAGGAAACCTTCGGCCCAACATCACTTGGACCGAATCCAGTCTTCACCACTTCATCGGACCTTCGGCAAGGTCCCATTGTTTTCATCTGAAACAAGTATTATACTATATCTTTTTAAAATTAATTTTTAGACTTCTAAATAATTCTCTTCTGAACCCTGTTTTTCATAATCAATGTTCAATACTCCAGCCTCCAGAGTACATGAGAAGGTAATCTGGAAAAAGACATGCACTTCAAAACGCTGACTCATCAAATGTACATTTGCCTTGCACTTGGGTTTCATATGAGGAAAACAGTAAACCTCGTGTTTTTATGACTCAGGTCACACTATTTACAGGGACAACTCCCAGTTGCCTTCGTATTTGACTTAATACGGTCTTCGAGACATGTGTTAATATGTACTCGTACGAAGTAAAAAGCTTTATTTTATAATCGTAAAATTTATGAAAATTAGATTTTTTTATATAGTTTACAATTATGAGAATTGAATAAGATTCTAGACGAATCCAATAAGATCCCACATCTCTTATAGATTATAGGAATATTTGGTTAAAGTTGCCAATGGCCTTGTTGTGCAAAAAAAAGATAGGGACAAAAGTACTAACTTTAACATTTCATTTATTAAGGCCCTATTTGATTCACCTTAATTTGGCTGAATTGAAATTATTTTTACTGAACTGAAATTATTTTTACTGATTTTCTATTATTATTCTTCTTTAAGAAAACTGAATTTTACTGAACTGAACTTATTTTTACTGAACTGAAATTAATTTTACTGAACTGAACTTATTTTTACTGAACTGAAATTATTGTTACTTAATATTATTTTTTTAAGGTGAATAGAACAGGGCCTAAGGGCCTGTTCTTATACGTTGAAATTCAGTTCAGCTCATGTATAATGATATTGCTAATGATATAAAGCCAAATTTCATTCTTTTAAGCTCTTATAATAATAATAATAATAATAATAATAATAATAATAATAATAATAATAATAATAAAATAATAATCAATAAATAATAATAATAATAATAATAATAATAATAATAACAATAATAATAATAATCAATAAATAATAATAATAATAATAATCAATAAATAATAAATAATAATAGTATATTTTTCTTAAATATTTTAATATGTATATTTGTATATACACATATGTATAATAATAAATAATCAAAGATCACTAATCCGTAGTTAAAAATCACTAATTAATAAGTTCAGTTCAGTTCAGTTCAGCTGAGTTCAGTCAATGAGAACATGCCTTGTCAATTCTGCTTTGGAACGCTAGGGGCATTGCTCGCCGGGGATTCAAAAGAAACTTCCGGCAATTAATGAAGGATCATGACCCGGAAATTGTGGTTCTTACCGAAACAAAAGTCAAAAAATCGGGAGTGGAGGAGATAATTGAGAACCTCCCCTTCAATTCCTTTGAGGTGGTTGATCCGGTGGGACTCTCGGGGGGTATTCTCATCCTGTGGAACAGCGGAGTCAATTCCATCACCACTGTCACCAAAGACCGCCGCTTCATTACGCGGTTGTTCAGGTGAACAATAAACCTCCTTTCTTTCTATCTTCAATTTATGCTAGTAATTGTTTTAAAGATAGACTTGAAATGTGGGATGATCTCAAAAAATTAGCGCCAAATATTTCTCTCCCATGGCTAGTTTGTGGGGACTTTAATGATATATGTTTTTCCCACGAAAAATGGGGTGGTAACCCACATCCTTTAAATCAAATGCAAGCTTATAAAGAAACTATGGCTGCTTGCAACCTGGTGGACTTAGGCTATATAGGCCATAAGTACACTTGGTTCAACAAGCGATTCGCCAATTTTCGAACGCCTCGACAGATTTTGGGCCAGCCCTTTGTGGATTCAGACCTTTCAAGAGGCGGTGGCCCAAAATTTGCCGAGAATGTCCTCGGATCAAAACCCACTCTTATTACACCTAGATAAACGGATCCAAATTACGGGTAAAAAACCTTTTCGTTTTGAACCAATGTGGATTTCGGACCCGGAGTTCGACCCGTTTATCTCATCTGAGTGGATTGCGATCCGAACCAGTTTACCTTCCAAGTTGGATGATCTAGCCAAGTCAATCTCTAGTTGGGCCTCCAGCCATTTTGGATCGGTTCAAAAAAAAAAAAATTTAAATTCGAGGATTGAAGGGGCCCAACAAGCCTTTCTGGCATATCCATCTAATAGGTTTCTCTTTGACTTGGAAAGATCATTGAACGAGGAGCTCCATCTCCTACATGAACAAGAGGAGATGTATTGGGCTGCTAGGGCCAGAACGGATTGGTTAATCAATGGTGACAGGAATACTCATTTCTTTCATCTATCATCCACAATCCGGAAAAAGAAAAACAAAATTGTTTCCTTAAAAAACAATGTTGGTGAGTGGCTATCTGAGCCCAATCAAATCCATGATCATATCCTAGCCCACTTCTCATCCCTTTTTCACTTCATAGCCTCTTAACTTGCCACCCCTTCACCCATCTTCAGAACAGATCAGTTGTGCTTCAAACCCCTCCCTCTCTGAACTCCGGGAAGTTGTCTTCTCAGTGGGTCCTCTAAAAGCTCCCGATGAAGATGGTTTCCATGCCTTGTTTTTCCAAAAATATTGGGAGGTGGTCAACTCTGAATGCTTCAATCTCATTCTCATCTCCTCTATTTTCCATTCTAAACAAATTCCCTCTTCCTTGAATAAAACAGTAATCTGTTTAATTCCCAAAATCCAAAACCCAACAAGAATTACAAGCTTCCGTCCAATTAGCCTTGTTAACTCTTGTTATAAATTTGTTTCTAAAATTCTGGTCAAGAGTATTAGACCCCATCTCAATTCTTTCATCTCTCCGAACCAAAACAGTTTCCTCCCGGGTCGTGGTACCGATGTAAACTTCATAATTGCATCGGAAATCATCCATTCCATGAGTAAAAAAAGAAGAGTAGGAAGGGTTTCTTTGCTCTAAAAATTGACCTCGAAAAGGCTTACGATAGACTCGAATGGCCTTTCATCCGCCATTGCCTTCACTTCTTTAAATTCTCCCTTGACTCTATTGATCTCATCATGAGTTGTGTTTCCTCTGTCTCCTCTTCCATCCTCATTAATGGCCACCTCTCAAAAAGCTTTACCCCTTCTCGAGGCCTTCGGCAGGGAGATCCCCTCTCCCCCTAATTATTTATCATTTGTATGGAGTACCTCTCTACAATGATAATAGAGAATGTGAGGGAAAAAATTGGACTCCTTTCCGATTTAGAGGAGGGAAAACTGCTATATCCCACCCTCTCTTCGCGGATGATACATCACCGCCACTTCTGATTTGGGGAAGTACCTTGGCTTTCCTCTTTCTTCGAAAAAACCATCCAAAAGATATCTACAGTTCCTCTTAGATAAGGTTGGAGCAAAGCTAGCCTCCTGGAAGAGTAAAACTCTTACTAAAGCAGGGAGGAGCATCCTAATTCAATCCACCTTTCAATCAATCCCTAGATATTTCATGCAATCTTTGTTCATTCCTAAATGCATATGCCAAAAACTTGATTCCATTTGCTCTAACTTTCTTTGGGGGAGTAGCCAAGAATCCAGGAAAATCACTTGGATTTCTTGGGAAAAAGTTTGTATGACCAAAGATCAGGGAGGGCTTGGGTTTGTAAAACATCGGGATCTCAATTTAATCTCCCTCACAAAATTTTGTTGGGGCTGTGTATAACAGCAGGGGTTGGGCTGCCAGCTAATTAGAGAAATTTACGTTGACAAGAGATCCCCTACCCCCTTCACTAAGGGATCTTACATTTGGCAGGGATTGGGTAAAGTTTGGCATATCTTCCAGAATAGCCTTGTGTGGGAGGTGGGGAATGGTGAATCAATTAATATTTAGGAGGACAGATGGCTAACTCACAAGTCCTTAAGAGAGTGTCTCATTGGACCAATCCACCAAAATGCTCTCTCCCTCAACTTCTCTGACATTCTCTCAGCTACCAAGTTGCAGCTTGAACTGCTTCTTTCGTTTAAAATCGATGAGTTCTTGTTTGGAGTCATCCATTCAACCGTTCTTTCTGATAAACCCGACACCCACTACTCTTCCTGGTCTTACAAGAATAAATTTGATTCCAGCAAGGCAAAGAAATTTCTGCTGACAAATCCTGCTAACCCTCCTTGCTTCAATTGGAATTTGATTTGGAACTCTCACACTCTCCCAAAAATAAAACAAGAAAAATCTCCACTCTAGATTGAGCCACATTTCTCCTCACTGTATCTTTTGTCCCACCCAAGAAGAATCTCGTGACCATATCTTCATTCATTGTACTAGAGCTGTAGAGTTCTGGAATCGTGTACCTTGCCCATCTCCTATCCCCTCCTCTACTAGCTGGGAAGATTGGCTATCTAAGAACCTCAGCATCGACATCATGTCTATGTGGGACATCCCTTGGAATGTCCTATTCTGTTTTGCTTTGTGGCACCTCTGGCTAAGGCGTAATGCTTGGTCTTTCTCCAAAATCAACATTTCTCTCCCATCATCAATCCACCAGTGTATTTGGCTGCTTCGGAGTATTACTTTTCTAAGTCAAACTCTGAAAGTCTAAAGCCCATGTCCGTTCGCTGGTCCTCTCCTCCCCCAAATTCTATTAAAATTAACTGTGATGCATCTTTCTTAGACCACAAAAAGGAAGCAGGTTGTGCTGTAGTGTGCAGAGACAGTTCTGGGCAGTGGGTCATTGGTCTGGTTTGGAGGGGATTCTTAGCCTTTAGTTATGATGCTGAACTTAAAGCTATTGAAATGGCTATGAATCTCATTCAAGAGAAGGGATGGACGAGCTCTATTTTATGCTCTGATGCTAAAAGGGCTATTGAGGAAGTAACTTCAGCTGATCCAATTCTTAATGCTCCTTCTTTAATCTCTAAGTGCAGGGCCCTACAAATGGAGCTCCATCTGGATATGCGCTTTGAACCAAGAGAATCAAATGCAGTTGTAGATATCTTAGCTAAGGATGCAAGATGCCACCTCCAGGACTTGAATCAGATTTGTATTTTGGATCATATGCCTGTAATTTGTGGCGAAGCTTTTGTAAGAGACTTATCTAATTGTACTGAACTTTCGGTTTCTACTGATGCTGGTGATGTACCAGCTGAAACTTCTTGTAATGTAACTTTTAATTAATCTATGCATCCTTTATCTTCAAAAAATGAGAACAGGCCCTAAGTCCATACCATTTGTTTTTGTATTTCTTGAATACAAAAGAAGAGATAGATAAATAATGGAGTAATAAAAAATTAAATATATTATAAAAAGTTTTTTTTAAGGGATAGTAGATGAGATTATAAGATAGGTCATCGTGCAGTGTAGACTCTCATATAATTGACAATGAAAACTCCGACATTCTTCCCTAAAACACTACTCCGTAAAATAAAATATACCTCTTTGAAACTCAACATAAAAATTACTAAAATGACATCAAATGATAATGAACCTTTTGTTAATTGTTTAATGTTTATATTCCTCTTGTTAGATTTATATAGTTCAAGAGCACAAATTACATTTATACCTCAAAAAAAAAAAAAAATAAATAAATAAATAAAAATAATAATAATAAATCAAGGCTTTGCCAACATTAATTGCTACTAGCTATAGTGTAAAAATTATTAAAAAATTATGGAGTATTACTTTAAAACTACGAATTTAACAAAAACACTTGAACCAAAATACGAAGTACTATGTAAATATTTTCAAACGACAACATAATAAAGCTACTACATTTATAGTTAAACATTTAGCCCTCAATATGTGTGGACATTCAAATTACAGAAGTTTTTTAATTCCTTCAAATTATAATCCAGATTTTCATGTAACAATGCTTTGAATTTTGCGGAGAGATGAGCAGATGGCATAAACGTAAAGGTTTCTTATTTTCTTTATTAATATGCTTTCTCCTTAAATTATGGTTTATAATAAATAAGACAGTTTGTGCACTAAAACATATGCAATTTATACTTTGAAAATTGAAAGAAAATGTGAGCGATGCTATATAGAGGCATATAGTTTGAACTTGAGTTTGGTCTAATTAAAAAAATTACAAAGTATTTCCTCCGTCTCATAATTACAGGCAAATATACTATGTGTGTCCTAAAATGTTCCTCCTATTACTAAAAATAACACCCAATTATTACTTACTTTTTACCTTTTCCATACGAATTACACACATACTTAAAAAATCATTACCTACTTTTTCACTTTTTCATACAAAATACACACATAACTAAAAAATCATTATTTACTTTTTAACTTTTCCATATAATATTCTCTACTCCCTCCGTCCCTAAATTACATTCCTCTTTGGAAATTTACAGGAGAATTAAGGAGGAAAGAATAAGACAAATAACAATAATTAGATAATGCAATGGGAAGTACAAAGATAAATTAGTTATTACTCATGCCATGTCATCAATCCTTTTCAAAAAAAAAAAGGATCAACCACATGCTCCTAATTAAAAATTTTTAACCAATCATATTCATTGTAATTTGGCACAAGGATTATGAGTGAGATTATGTAAGGATGAGTGAGAAAACATTAAATATAAAACAGAAAAAAGAGAGTTGATTTACTAAAAAAAACTTACCAAAAATAGAAAGGGAGAATGTAATTTTGGAATACCAAAAATAGAAAGGAGGAATGTAATTTAGGGACGGAGGGAGTACTTTTATCAACATTCTTCACTTTTTAGCTTTTCCATATAATATTCCTCTACTTTTTCATCCTCCTTAAAAACCGTACTTTTTAGAGCTATTTGCCTGTAATTATGGGACGAATGAAGTATATAGTACTCTGTAATGATTTAAAACATATTTATATGGAGTACTAAATTAAAAGTACTTTAATTGAATAATATGTTCACTTCAGCTTAATTTCAATTCAGTTCAGTTCACTTCAGCTCTTGATATCCTCAGTAATCATGTGTTAACCTACTTTGATAAATATGTTGTTATGTAATGTCACCATGTCAACTAGAGTTTTTTATTTTTTATTTTTTTTTATTTTTTTTTTTATTTTTTTTTTTTGGTGTTTAGAGAGCCACAAAGGCGGGTGATGAAAATCGATCCCCAGATCTCTTATACGTAATCGGGAGGGGAGCTCTAACCACTTGAGCTATCCCTCACTCTCTGTCAACTAGAGTATTTAAAATATAAACTCAAATATATAATGTTTAAATTTTTTTTAATAGGAATTTTAGAACTTTAAATGTGTACAATTGGAACTATGTGTTAAAAGGACCAACTCAATTAAAAGTTTAAGCTGATGGTTGAACTCCATGAATATGTTTTATACTCTATCATTACCCCTCACATAAAAGGCTCTTTGGGATTAAAATGTGGATGCAGCACAGACTCTCTCATACCCGGCGCGAATTAATTCCACTTTGAAAGAGGGGTAGATGAGATTCGAATCCGTGACCTTTGTGTCACGCTGGCTCTGATACCATGTTAAAGGACCAACTCTACTAAAAGCTTAAGCGGATGATTAAAGTTCATAAATATGTTTTATACTCTATCACTATGTATAAGTGAGTACTTGATTATCTTACCTCAAAGAAAAAAAATGTTGGCTGTCCAAAAAAAACATAACGAGGTAATAACTTGATAATGAAGTCATTAATTATGTACAAACTGTACTTGACACAGATTGTTTAACCAATCTCTGGTGCACAATTTATTAAAAATTAATTTTTTTTTTTTAAAAAAAAAAACTCTTGTGCAGAATTCAATGACAAGAAATCCTGGAGTATTAAATTAGGTGATTCTACTTGGGCATTTAAGGAACAAAATTAAATGTGATTAACAATTATGGGAGATGATTTGTCCATACTGATTACTTTGGTAATTATCATAATTATTTCCTTTTATTTATTTATTTTTATTACCTTATTTGTTTGCCATTCTCACTTCTCCTTTGTGACACATGGTACACACTACACATTATTTATTTATTAAATATTTAAAAAAATTCATGAGTTATATAAGCAGAGAGAAACAGAGAATAGAGAGTTAGAGACAAAGCTTAACACTGGCATTCGCCTCTCTCCCCAACAAAATTAAAAATATTTGCATGTAAGTTTTATTTTGTATATTTGGGTTTCAATTAATTTGCATGTCACATTTTGGGTAATTCAAGTTTAAGTTGATTTTATTTCAAAAAAAAAAAAAAAAAAATTACTAATGTATTGGTGGATTGATGATTATACTAACAAAAATGGAAAAAATATTCTCTTGCTGTTGTTCTCCTTCAAAACTTTAGGTGCTCTGCGTCGACAAATTCGAAAAAAAAGAAAAGAAAAGATAAAAGGTAGCGTTACTTTTATCATTTTTAAGTTTTAAATATATGTATATACTTTCTCTGTTTTTTTTATTATTTTTTTTATTACTCCGTAGTTATTTTTATTTTAATCTTTATTATTTTATGAGCATAACATTTCTTAAATTCAAAAGTACCAAAATAAGTGTAACATCACTACTTTTTTTTTGCCATTAATTCTAATTGAATTCACCACAAGACTACAAGAGTAGATAAGTAGAGAGGAAGATATAAAATGAGATTTGTGTTGCACAAAAGACTGCCATTATTAGACTTCAATTCTCATTATATTTTTTTGTGGGGTAACGGTGACAAATGTTAAACAATTGCAATCTTTATTTATTTACTCGTATTTTTTCTCTCTGAGGCAATTGCAATCTTAAATCATCATCCACTTTCCCTATTTTTTTCTTCCTATTATTATATTTTTGACTTTAGTGGTCAACGTCTAAAAACTTTGATTATAATAAAAATTAGGGAAAACTATTATTATATATAAAGATTAAAACTATATCATGTAGAATGTTGTTAAATTCATCTTAAAATGAATTTTTTCTATATAAAAAATATAGAGTACTCCGTATTTTTTTAGTTTGCTACTCCGTATATTTTAGATTGAACACATAAGTAGTCAAAATGTGCACGTTGAAGACTGCAAAAACTGCGAAGGTCAAAGTATAACAATAAAAAAAGAAAGAGAGAAAGTACTGCATAATCATGTTTTTCAATAAATGTACTCCGTATTACTTTGACCTTTTACATTATTATTTCATAAAATTATGACCATGTTTACTTAGGGTCTGTTCACATTTACTTAATTTCATTTCATTTCAGTTCAGTTCAGCTCCAATTAGTTCAGTTCACTTCAGCTCCTAATTTCCCTCTCTCATAAAATATTTATTTCAACTCAGTTTAGTTAAGTTTAGTTCAGCTCCAATCAGTTCGGTTTTGTTCACTTCAATTCCAATCAGTTCAGTTCATCTCATTCAGTTCAGCTAATTTCAGTAAATATGAACAGACCCTTACTTTTTTTGTTAAGATAAAATGAAAGGCGATGTAGATCATTATATATACATATTAATGGTAAAAATTAGTACAAATTCATGCAGGCCGTCTTAAATATTTTGAGAGCCCTATTCTAAATCTCCTAACTTTTGAAATTAGGCCTTACCAAAACAAGAGCAATTTTATTATATAAATATTCAACATTACCATACTTAAATTACAATATACAAAGGTCAACAAAAACTCAAACTCATCCAATTGACAATCGCTTAAATTTCAAATAATTAAATGTCGTTGCCATATTTCAATTCAATAACTCACAATTGCAAAATATCTGGATTTCTACCTTCAAATTTGCAATAATTAGCACTTACAAAATCTGAAATTAACAGTAAATATAGTAATCTACCTTTGAAAGCATACAAATTACTAATTTCATTGCTTGTGAAAATATTGCACAAATTTGCAGATTGTAATTCATAGCAAGAAAGATACTTTATGAATCTTATCGTTTTACTCTTCGACTTAAATTTGTCAATTGGAGTACTGATTTCATTGTGTTTGAAAAAAATTGCATAATTGTTGTGATTTAGAGAGAGGAAGGTAAGAGTGATTTAATTGAAAACTTGAAAATTTTGAGTAAATCAAGAAAATAAATGACTGAGGAGGATGAATGGTTTTACCATTTATGGGAAATGCAAAGACCATGAAGGCATGAACTAATTGCATAGTACATTAATCTAGAAAGGCCCTGAATTCATGCATCCATTAAGAAACGAACGAAGTATTATAGAATGGATAATGGTATATATAGCCCTTAGGCTTATGTATAAGCATTAAATATATTTTCCAAAATGGAATTAAGTTGGAAATTTATGACAAAATCACGCGCAAATTGGTGAAATTAATTTTAATTTTTCCAAAATGTGAAAAATGTAAATCCAACGCAATTGATTTTTTCATACATCTTCCATTCTTTTTTTTTTGTTTAATTACTTTCAACACTTTAACTTGCTTGTTATTTGTACACTATACTTTGATAAGTTTGATAATTTTCTAGTAAAGGATAAATATTGTTAAATAATATCAATATTTTGTCATTTTTAATACAGGTAACTAAAGATTTTTCTGGTTAAAACAATGATTATCAAACGTGAAATGAGATGTATAACTTATTTTAAAAAAAGGAAAAATATTGTTCATATTTTAAATGTCAATAAAAGTAATACAGTAGGGTTATAGTAGAAAAAATGATGAATAATGAACAATATAATAAAAGTCCAAGTGTAGTAACTAACGCAAAATAAGAGTAAATTTTATGTGATAATCTGGTACTTATGTAGTTTTGCATTGGTACAGTGAAAGAGCTGAAGAATGATAGGGGATTTGTGGACAATGTTTTGTTGGCAATCTGACTGTGGAAAAAATTCTGAGGATAAAGGGAGCATTAGTGAAAAGGGGGCACCCGCTAGAGTTACACCATTTGCCAAAGCTGGGTTCTTTAATAAGATGTTATTTTGTTGGCTAAACCCTTTGATGAAATCGGGTACGAAAAAGACTATGGAGGAAGAAGACATGCCCAAATTACGGGACATAGACAAAGCAAGATATTGTTACTCACAGTTTGTTGATCAGTTGATTAAGAAAAAAGAGTCCGACTTGTTATCAGAATCCTCGATCTTGTGGACAATTGTTGAATGCCACTGGAAAGAGATTCTAGTTACTGGAGTATTTGCTCTTTTGAAGATACTTGCAATGTCAGCTGGACCTCTATTAATGAATTCCTTCATTGAGATTGGTGAGGGTAAAGAAGCTTTTAAATATGAAAGATATGTTCTGGCAGCTTCACTTTTCCTATCGAAGATATTGGAATCTTTTACACAGAGGCAATGGTTCTTTCGAAGCAGATTGATTGGTCTTCAAGTGAGGTCCATGCTAACTGCAGCAATTTATAAGAAGCATCTACGACTCTCAAATGTAGCTAAGAAGAATCACTCTGGTGGTGAGATAATGAATCACGTAACCGTGGATGCTTATAGGATTGGGGAGTTCCCTTTTTGGTTTCATCAGACTTGGACTACAAGCCTCCAGCTTTGTCTTGCATTACTTATTTTGATCCATTCAGTTAAGCTCGCAACTGTGGCTTCCTTAGTACTAGTTGTATTAACTATGATATGCAACGCGCCTATTGCAAAGTTACAACATAAGTACCAAAGCAAGTTGATGGTAGCTCAAGATAGGAGGTTGAAGGCGTACTCAGAGGCTTTAGTGAACATGAAGGTTCTTAAGTTATATGCTTGGGAGAATCACTTTAAGAAAGCAATCGAGTCCTTAAGAAAAGAGGAGTCCAAACGCTTATCATCTGTGCAATTGCAAAAGGCATACAACTACTTGCTTTTTTGGATGTCTCCTGTTTTGGTCTCTGTTGCTACATTTTGGGCATGTTATTTACTCCATATCCCTCTACATGCCAACAATGTATTCACATTTCTTGCAACATTGCGTCTAGTGCAAGAGCCAATAAGAGTTATCCCTGATGTCATTGCTGTAATAATAGATGCAAAAGTTGGATTTGCAAGAATTGTGAAGTTTCTTGCAGCGCCAGAGCTCCAAACAGAAAATGTCAGAAAAATGAGCGATATGGCCACTATAAATCATGCCATTATGATAAGATCAGCAAATCTTTCGTGGGAAATGGATACATCAAAGCCAACATTGAGAAACATAGATCTTGATATTCATCCTGGTAAAAAAATAGCTATATGTGGAGAAGTTGGCTCAGGAAAATCAACATTACTCGCAGCAATTCTCGGAGAAGTAGCATGCATGGATGGAACAGTAAGCTTCTTATGCAACTTTCATACTTCTTATTTTTGTCATTTTCGTAAATAAACCAACAACTATTCAACTGTGGAGCCCACAATAATGAAAAAGTTGTTGACTTATTCACGAAAATGCTCATATGAGAAACAAATTTCGTTTCTCACTATGAGAAACAGGGAATTTCCCACCAAGCTGCATATAGACCTCTAGACAAATAAATATTGATGAGTTAGCTTAATAGAATTAGACTACTATATAAAGAGCTATATAATTGTTACATTTCAAACCTATTTTACTCTTATAGGTAGAGGTTTTTGGGAGTATTGCTTATGTTTCCCAGACAGCTTGGATTCAATCAGGGACAATACGGGAAAATATTCTGTTTGGATCAGCCATGGATGACCTCAGATATAGAGATACTCTACATAGGTGTTCATTGGTTAAGGACCTTGAGCTTCTTCCTTATGGTGATATGACTGAAATTGGAGAAAGAGGAGTTAATCTAAGTGGTGGACAGAAGCAACGGATTCAACTTGCTCGAGCATTATACAAAAATGCAGACATTTACCTTTTGGACGATCCATTCAGTGCTGTTGATGCAAAAACTGCAACTAGCCTCTTTAATGTATAGTATTTCTCACACCTCAAGTTCTCAAACATGGATAACCTTTTCAACTTAACTAACATGACTCTTTATGTTGTGACAGGAATATGTTATGGAAGCTCTTTCCGAAAAGACTGTCTTGCTTGTGACTCACCAAGTTGATTTTCTTCCAGCATTTCATTGGTGTTTGGTGAGTTTGTCTTTAATTTTGTATGAATAAATAACTTGTAATCATCAATGAAACGACATCTTTTTTTTGCAGTTGATGTCAGATGGAGAAATCCATCAGTCAGGCTCTTATCATAGTTTATTAGCTTCAAGTAAGGAGTTTTCAGATCTTGTAAATGCACACAAAGAGACTGCCAATACAAAGACAACGGGTGAAGCTAGCAAATCTAATAGACAAATTGTTTCGAATACAGAAATTCAGATAGCCAATGTGGAGAATGAAAATCAAGCGAATAAGGACCAGTTGATTAAACAAGAAGAAAGAGAAGTAGGAGACACTGGCCTTAAGCCATATTTGATATACTTGAAGCAGAATATAGGATACTGGTATATCTCTATCGTTTTCTTCGCTTATGTAGCCTTTTTAGCAGGCCAGATATTACAGAACCTTTGGATGGCCAAAGGCATTGATAATCCTCAACTCAGCAAATCAAAACTTATTTTGGTATACTTCATCATTGGACTCGCCTCGACAATCTGTTTATTCTTTCGATCTCTTGCAATGGTTAGATTAGGGATGGATTCATCAAGATTCTTGTTTTCTAAATTACTAAACTCCTTATTTCGTGCTCCAATGTCATTTTATGACTCTACACCTCTTGGAAGGATACTGAGTCGGGTAAGTATAAATTAAATAAAGTTGTGATATGCTTCACAAATATATATATTTCATGCAATTCAAGTAGACTAGACTTATTCCACAATAACATTTCCCCACTTGATGTTTTAATTAAAATCTACAGGTCTCTTCTGATTTAAGCATTATCGATCTTGATCTCCCTTTCAGCTTCCATTCAACCCTTGGAGCTACTACAACAGCATATGCTAATTTGGGAGTGTTGGCTGTCATGATCTGGCAGGTCTTATTTGTAACCATACCAGTGATTTACATGATGATACGAATACAAGTAAGTTTTCAAAATGACCTTCCACAATGCAGTGCTATGGGCTTATGTGATGAATGAATTTTCTAAAAAAAATAATCATGTATCAAACAAGGAAATTTTGTCTAGAACTACCTTAAAGATAGAGTCATTTATGAATAACTACCCATTTTTTTTAAGGGTTGTTTAAAAAAACGGATAGTTGTTCACAAATGACCCTAGTTCTAGACAAAATTTCCATCAAACAATTGCATTTCTTTAATTTCTTGAGGTTATTGTTAGGTTTAGCACCTAATTACTAATTGAAAATCATGCACAGAGGTACTACTTTGCAACCGCAAAAGAGCTGATGAGACTCAATGGTACAACCAAGTCTATGGTTGCAAACCATTTAGCCGAATCATTAGCAGGAGCCATGACAATAAGAGCTTTTCAAGAGGAAGAACGTTTTTTTGAAAAAAGTCTTGATCTTATCGACTTAAATGCAAGCCCATTCTTCCACAACTTTGCAGCCACTGAATGGCTTATTCAGAGGATTGAGATCCTTAGTGCCACTGTTCTTGCAACTGCAGCACTATGCATGGTTTTGCTTCCACCTGGAACATTTTCCCCAGGTAAAACATTCTCTATCTCTCTTTGGTTTCTCTATTTACAAATATTTCGTTTATAATAGAACCGATAATATTGCAGGCTTTATTGGAATGGCGTTATCATATGGTCTAGGGTTAAATTTGGGTATGGTTGTCTCAATTCAAAATCAATGCATAATAGCCAACCAAATCATTTCAGTGGAAAGGATTCATCAATACACAGATATACCAAGTGAAGCTCTAGAAGTCATCAATGATAGTCGCCCTCCCCGAAATTGGCCATCCCTTGGAAAAGTAGTGGTCCACAATTTACAGGTGAACTTTTCAATATCTTATCAACATGTATTCTAGAAAGATATGCTTAACATTTTTATGTATGAAGCAGATAAGATATAGAACAGACACACCACTGGTCCTTAAGGGAATTAGTTGCATAATCGAAGGCGGAGACAAAATTGGTGTTGTGGGTAGGACAGGGAGTGGAAAGACTACCCTGATAGGGGCATTATTTCGCCTGGTAGAGCCAGTAGAAGGGAAGATTATCGTCGATGGATTGGATATAAGTTCGATAGGACTTCATGATTTAAGGTCACGTTTCGGGATTATCCCTCAAGATCCCACACTATTCAATGGCAGTGTACGATTCAACTTAGATCCATTGTGTCAGCATACTGATGAAGAAATCTGGGAGGTATAATTTCCCTTTCTTTCTTATGTAACAATATCTAGAATACATACATTTTATGTAATGCATGGCAATTTTTGAACTTTTTTTTTCTTGCAAAAGGTGCTAGGGAAATGTCAACTCAAAGAAGTTGTGCAAAAGAAGGAGCAAGGTTTAGATTCCTTTGGTATGAATTTCTCCTTCAATTATTCGTTTTTTTTAATAACAGCTTTATTTAACTTCATTCAACTGTAGAGCCCACAATAATGAAAAAGATCAGATATTGATTTATTCACAAAAATGCCCCCACGAGAACATCACGAGAAACAGGGAATTTCCCATAACAAATGTATTTTGAGTTTTTGACATATTATTATTGTACTTTCTCATATTAGTTCTGGAGGATGGATCAAATTGGAGCATTGGACAACAACAACTATTCGGTCTAGGCCGCGCTTTATTGAGAAAAAGCAGGATACTAGTGCTGGATGAAGCAACTGCATCAATTGATAATGCAACTGATATGATTCTGCAAAAAACAATACGAACAGAGTTTGCTGATTGCACAGTAATTACAGTAGCCCATAGGATACCAACCGTGATGGATTGCACCAAGGTTCTTACCATTAGTGAAGGTGTGTTTTCTTTGATATTCCTATACCATATATAATGCACCTCAAGCAACATAACAGTTGCAAAATTCAAAAGCAAATTCTAAAACAAAATTATAGCAGGCGAGATTATTGATTGAGTTAAGTCCTAAATTATTTGGTAGGATAGAATGTAATGAAATGTTGTTGCAGGAAATTTAGCTGAATATGACGACCCGATTAAGTTAATGGAGAAGGAAGATTCATTATTTGGCCAACTTGTGAAGGAATACTGGTCTCATTTGCATTCAGCAGATCAGTCACATTGATTAAAAGGCGGTGTAGCAACAAACGATAAATGTACTAGTTTCATTTGGAAGATGTGTTGTTGTGCCCGAATGTGCAAGTTACAATATTTGATACTTTTGGCTGTTCAAGTACCTTTCATCCTCTCTACTGTGCTCAACTGAATAATTGAAGCTTATGATTTTAATTTCCTTCAGTAATCGATGAATTTGTATTCAATATATATGTATATTTTCGTCTAAGAATAAAATTAACTTGAAGTGAATTTAAATATTTCGGACAATAGTATGCTCTACACAAAAGTCTAAGAACCAAAAGAGGGTATTGTAAGCTCACTGGTGTGGTTATGAGAGATTGTATTAGTAGTGAAAATAAGATAAGACAACATTCTTTACTTGGATTGTCCAAATTGACATAAACATATATCCTAAAGACACTAAATTGGCGAGAAAGGCGATAACAAAACGTGCGAAATCCAACTTATGCAATACTTTTTTTTTTTTTTTTTTTTTTTTTTTTTTTTTTTTTTTTTTTTGGGTTTTTCTATATAGTAATCCTGTTTTTTTTTTTTTCACTTTTCTACGTTGTGCCCTAACATATATCACTTTCTACACTGTAACCCCAACATATTTTTTGTTTCCATACGGTAACCTTAATGTTATCCTGCTGTTAAAAAATTCCGTTAGTAGGGCCCACTCTCCATTATTATTTTTTTTATCGATTTGCGCGTTGAAAAATACTCCGTCAAAGGTTTCGGGGGCTATTTTGGTCCGCCCTTAAGGAACCAAATTGAGCTCAGATTTGGCAAAAAAATAACGTAAATGCCTCGTTTTGCTTATTAAGAAATGTCTCGATTTACGTGTTCACATTTTAACACACAAAACGAGGCATTTACGTTATTTTTTTGCCAAATCTGGGCTCAATTTGGATCCTAAGGAACAAAATAGCCCTTTAAACCTTTGACGGAGTATTTTTCAACGCGCAAATCGATAAAAAAATATTAATAATGGAGAGTGGGCCCCACTAAATGAACTTTTTAACGGCAAGATAACAACAGGGTTATCGTGTGGAAACAAAAAATATATTGGGGTTACAGTATAGAAAGTGATATATGTTGGGGCACAACGTAGAAAAGTGAAAAAAACAAGGTTACTATATAGAAAAACCCTTTTTTTTAAATTGCTTAAAGTAATACATCATGTAGAGCTGTCAAAAGTTGACCCGACCCAAATACCGACTCAAACTCGATTATTAACTGACCATCTGAACCCGAAAAAATGGTGACCCAAACCCGACCTAACCCGGCCTGAAACCAACCCTAGACCCGAGTTGACCCGAGTATGTGGGACCCGAACCCGAACATGAACTGATCTGGAGATGACCCGACCCGAATGTAACCCGTAAATTATTGATCTGAACCTAACCCGACTTGAACTGAAATTGACCCAAAATCGCTTTAACCCTTCAAAACCCGAATTTTGACCCGACTTGCTACTAACCAGACATGAATTCAACCTGACTCGTTCCTAACCCGAACCGAATTTAACCCAACCTGTTACAAACCCGACCAAAAATCAACCAGACTTGTTATTGACCCGACCAAAAATTAACTCGACTTGTTATTGACCTGACCCAAATTCAACCCGACTTGTTATTGACCCGACCTGAATTTTACCAGACCTATAACTAACCCGACCCAAAAATTCAACCCGCTCTGTTACTAACCCAACTCGAAATCAATACGAATTGTTATTGACCCGACCTAAATTCAACCCAAATTGTTCCTTACCCGATTTCAAATCACCAAATACAATTTAGATCACCATATTATTGTTGATCAAAGCATTTTGTCTTGGGAAACCAAGTCGGTCCAGGCCACCAAAAGAAAGGAGCATCATCCTCAAATTTAAAAGTTAAATATAGTATATATTTATTGTATGGTGAAAGGAGATAATTATCTTCCTAAATTATAAACTATAGTTCCCTAGTATATATTGCCATATATATTATAGTCAAAGGAAATAATTAGCTTGATAAAAATGATAATTATTTATTTATATTTAGTTGAACCTGAATATGACCTGACTTGGAAATGATCAGACCTGATTATAACCTACAAATTATTGACTTGAACATAACCCGACTTGAATCCGAGAATGACCCGACTTGGAAATGACCCAACCTGATTCTAACCCGCAAATTATTGACTTGAACCAAACCCGTCTTGAACTCGAGAATGACCAGACTTGAAAATGACCTGACCTAATTATAATCTGTAAATTATTGACTTGAACCGAACCCGACTAAAACCCGAGAATGACCCGAATTGATTCTAACCGCAAATTATTGACTTGAATCGAACCCGACTCGAACATGAGAATTACCCTAGCCCATTTTAACCCGAATTAAACCCGACCTATTGTTCACCCAACATGAATGTAACCCGACCTAATATTAACCCGACCCAAACCCGATAATAAGTATGACCCGACGTGACCCGACACAAGCATGACCCAACCCAAACCTGACCCACATAGGTTATGAAATTAATTTGAATTGACCCGACCCGAATTGACCTAACCCACTCTTACCGACCCAAACCCGATCGACCTATTTACCCGAATTGACATCTCTACACGAAACCTCAAAAATTTCTCAAACAGTATGGATATTAGCCTTCAATTTTGGAATTTTTTTTGACTTTTTTTTCACCCGTAAATAAAAATTGCCGAAATATTTACATGATCACTAGTACCTTCAGAGAGTCCTATTGGCTGGGTGGAACCATCCAATTTGCCTTTAAAAGATCAATTTACCGGTTTACAACTTGCACCGATTTTATTAACTCAAACTTACCACGAACATTTATGAAAACATATAATGATCATATATGGATCCAAACGACATTATACGACCCCGAGATGTATCCCCTAAAATATTAATATTTTTCTACACAGGGCCCCGAAACCTTCAAAATTTCTCAAAAAACATGGATATTAGCCTTCAATTTTGAAATTTTTTTATTTTTTTTTCGCCCAGAAATAAAAATTATTGAAATGTTTACCATGGTCCCTAATACCCTCCGGGAGTCTAATTGGGTGGGTGGAATCATCCAATTTGCCTTTAAATGACCAACTTACCGGTTTATAACTTGCACCGATTTCATTAATTCAAGCCTACCACGAACATTTATGACAACAAATAATGATCATATATGGTTCCAAACAACATTATATTATATGACCCCGAGATGTATCCCTTAGAATTTCAAAACTTTTCGACACCGGGCCCCGAAACCTCCAAAATTTCTCTAAAATCGTGGATATTAACCTTCAATTTTGGAATTTTTTGACTTTTTTTTCGCCCGGAAATAAAAATTGCCGAAATGTTTACAATGGACCCTAATACCCTCCGAGAGTCCAATTGGGTGTTTGGAACCATTTAAATTGCTTTTAAACGGCCAATTTACCGGTTTACAACTTGCACCAATTTACTGGTTTACAACGGCCACTTTACAAAACTTGCATTGAACCCGACTTGAGATGAAATTGACCCAAACCCGTTTTAACCCGTCAAAACCCGAATTTAACCCGACTTGTTACTAACCTGACCTGAATTTAACCCGACCTGTTTCTAACCCGACCCGAATTTAACCTAACCTGTTACAAACCTGACCTGTTATTGACTTGACCCAAATTCAACCCGACTTGTTATTAACCCGACCCGAATTTTACCTTATCTATTACTTACCCAAATTTCAACCCGATCTGTTACTAACTCGACTCGAAATTAATACAACTTGTTATTGACCCGACCTTAGTTCAACCCAAATTGTTCTTGACCCGATTTCAAATCACCTTAAATGCAATTTAGACCACCATATTATTGTTGATCAAAGTAGGGATGTCAGTGGGGCGGGTCAAGTGGGAGACTCGCCCCAGTGGGGCGGGGATGGGTCTTGGTTTGGCGGATGGTGGGGTGGGGATGGGGATAAAAACCATACCCGCCATGGGTGATGGGGCGGGGGTGGATTTTAAGTTGTACCCGCCCCGCCCCCTTCGTACCCGCCCCATCTCCACCTCATACCCACGTCTATATATCTTTAAAAGCAAAATTATATACTTCTATACTATTTTATAAAATAATTACGTGAAATAAAATATTAATTATAATACTTTGTTAGGTGGGGATGGGGATGAGAAGGTCAACATCCGACCCGCCCCACCCCATTGAGATCCCTAGATCAAAGCATTTTATCTTGGAAGACCAAGTCGGTCCAGGCCAGCAAAAAAACAGGAGCATCATCCTCAAATTTAAGAGTAAAATATAGAATTTATTTGTTGTATGGTCAAAGGAGATAATTATCTTCCTAAATTATAGACTATAGTTCCCTAGTATATTGCCATATATATTATAGTCAAAGGAAATAATTAGCTTGATAAAAATGATAATTATCTATTTATAGTTAGTTGACCCCGAATATGACATGACTTAGAAAGGATCCGACCTGATTGTAACCTACAAATTATTGACTTGAACATAACCCGACTTGAATTCGAGAATGACCAGACTTGAAAATGACCCAACCTGTTTATAACCCGCAAATTATTGACTTGAACCGAGCCCGACTTAAACCCAAAAATGACCCGACTTGAAAATGACCCAACCTAATTATAATCTGCAAATTATTGACTTGAACCGAACACGACTCAAACTCGAGAATGACTCGACCTGACTCGAACACACAAATTATTGACTTGAACCGAACCCGAATAGAACCCGAGAATTACCCTAACTCATTTTAACCCGTGAAAACCCGACCTATTGTTCACCTGATCCGAATGTAACCTGACCTCTTATTAACCCGACCTAAACCCGATAAGAAGTATGACCTGACTCAAGCATGACCCAACCCAAATCGACCCGTATAGGTTATAGAATTAATCTTAATTGACCCAACCCAAGTTGATCTGACCCATTCTTACCCGACCAAAACTCGACCCGTTTACCCAAATTCATTGCTCTAACATTAAGTATAGGATAACGATTTAATAACACTCTAAAATCGAAGGTTATAATACTTATGAACTCAAAAGTGTTATGGTAATTATGTGAATTTTAGTGAAGATTT